AAGCTCGCGCTGGCATTCGACCTTTTGCACCAATCGTAGATCCCGTCAAATGTTAGAAACACACCCAACAAAAGCGAAACGTTCTGAAACTACTCGGGAATAATTTGTCGGCCATAGAAGCAGTGCTCGCGAATCTTTCGATCGCGAGGATTCTACGAATCGTGCGACTGTTATCGAACGATATGTCCTTCGGATCATCGTTATCTCGATGCGTTAACTAGCGAGCATTGACACGCTCCTCGCAGAAAAATCCGATAAACCCCTTTAGCGAGAATCTGCACCGAAGATCTTGTACACAAACGTATCGAGTAACCGGAGCGAAAGGATGTATGTATTGGTGTTCGTGTAAACAGTCGGATCGTTGCAACGGAAAGGGAGCCTTCGAGACGAGCTGCCAAAACGTATGTCGGCCCACGCTCCGCTCTCGATCTGTCCCTACAAGTGCAAACAATCAACAGACAAAACACTTCGTGTTTCTTACGCCCGAGCTACTGGTACGAGACCGGAAGGAATTCCTGGGAAGAAATAGTAACGTTCTCGGTGAAAGGTCTCGATATCTGCTTCTATTGATTGCAAATCGTTCCACTATGCTTTCCTATCGATTTCATAGATCCGTAAAGTATGAACCAGCGATCGAATCGTCGAAACATTTTTGTCCGCGCGGAACGGAACCTCCCATGGTAAAGAAAGCAATATTTGCATGCGAAAATACGGACTACGCGACTGGCAAGAAAAGCACGCCGCACGTTTATCAAACCTATCGCGGGATCAATCGACCGCCCACAAGATACTTTCGAACGAGATCGTATCGGTTGGACGTCTCATCGAGAAAGTCCCTAGCGACCAAGGTAGAATCAGAAACGTCGTGCTTTACGTTCTCCTCGATGCGAAAGAATCGGTTTATGCCGTAAGTTTCTTCTCCAAACCTCTTGGGAACCGTTCGTCGAGCATGCTTGGCAACGCGATCGTTGCTTTCGTAACGAAACGAGACTCCGTGTCTCGTCGGGTCGCTTACGAATCGCTAATCGAGTCACGGAACACGCTTTGAATCCCGAAAATTACAAGAAACAACGGTGTAGGGCAAAGAAGTCAGACGGAATACATGGTTCACCGATCGTCGGGCTCGAGTACACGTGATTTCGTGGTTGCTTCTTGTGTTTCATTCACGAGTGGGTGCCCCCCGAGCGAGATACGGTGAATTTTAATGAGCCACTCGGTCAGCTGCTCGATGCTACCCACAGGAAAATAATCCACGAAGAAATTGAATTCCAGCGTGCGTTCCTGCGCCAAATTCCGACGATCACTCCTCGTGCATTTCTATCGAGCGTTTTTCGACAATTTCGAAACATTCGCTGTTGCACTTTCGTCTTTTTTCCTGACCAGACATCGACCAACGACACTTTGTACCGATTTCTACACGTACATACATTCTGCATCACTCCTGTTTCGCAAATTAGTTCGGTCACAACTTACTCCGTTTCGTGACCAACATTTTATGTTAAAAATTTCACGTTCGCGTGTTCAATCCCCCGAGATCGATAGCGAACGAAAAACCCACACTGCACCCGAATATGCATAACCCTTGTCCGCGCGAAGGCGCCCGCAGGTCCCTTAGTGAATTGCAACGTTAAAAACTGGTCCAGGTTCGAAAGGGAAATGCGATGTCGAGAGCAAAGGTTCGCGATGCAAAAGGTCGAACACGAACACGAATCGCCTTCGGGGACAGGTTCGAGCTGACTTAATACGAACCATGGGCGTGCACCGACGTTCGGCTGCCTTTCGCGAACCCGCCCGAACCGGAAGTGCATTATTCATGCTCGATTTTTCGCGAGCGACCCGTGTAAAAAGTATGCAAAAATTCAAAACAGGGCAGGAGAGCAAGCATGGACCACCCATGAGTGCTCGCGCAAAGATAAAGCGTTCGGATCAATGGCGTCGAGCCATTGCGTTTTCGTCAAATTCTTATGACTATTCTATGAGAGAGTCAACGACGATAGAGAAATTTTCTAGTCCATCATTTTAACTGGCAAGAATCGGGGGTTCGATAGGTTAAACGCGATTTAACCCCTTGTCTCGTAACGCAGAATAGTCACGCTTGCGCTGTCCGTAGCAATTTAGAGTATTTAACCCTTTGAACTCGAAAGTTTTTCTGCTACCAGGAAGTAGCTACTTCAGACATAACTCGACGCTGTACGATTTTATACCTACTCCAAATTTCGCGTTACACGTTTTTGCAGAACGATAGTTTTTTAGTTTTAAGTAGTTTGACTAGGTCGAGAAAGGCAAAGGATCAAGCACGGTTTACGATTCTCCAGATTCGCGGAGGACGAGATTCCTCGTGGGATAGACCTACGTACGCCACTGTGGCATCAAATTTATGACCACGGCCAGGCTATTCGTCAGGGACGATCGCGAATCTCAATCCTGGTTGTACCGTCTTGACAGAGTGCGGTCGAGAAACAAGGAGACAGCCCACGAGGGCAGTTCGTATTACAAAGATCCGGTAAGATCTTTGCGCTTTGTGTCGACCGGCAAAATATCAGCGAAACCCACGTTACTCTTCGAAGCAATTTGTCCTGTGCGTTTATTATTCCGCCGGGTCCTATCCTTCGGAGATCGATTCTTCTGTTCCGATTTGGTTAAACTACCGATGGTGGATCGCATTAACTTTACAAATTATCGTCTCGACAAGATTCCGCGTACGGATACATTCCGCTTCGAGAATCTATGTTTAACAATTTAAATACGTACTACTCGGTGACTCGTTAACGATATTCGGAACCCTGTTTCTTGACTTGTCTCGTAATTATGTACGCAGTTTAATGGACCAGTTTGTAAACTGACCCGCGACTCTAGATTAACACTTCGACGATGGTAATAGACGTGCGTAGCAAAATACGCTAAAGCGTCAATTAACTACAAGATCCCTCGATTTTCGCGTTTAAGCTTTCAGCCGTAGCGCGTCGAAACGACCACCTATCGATGAAATGAAATACGCGTTTCTCCTTTTTTGCTCTCCTACATGTTATGCGGGGTATCATTAAAATTAAGAGAGGACAGAAACAACCTTCGTTGTAACCATTAATATAGACTTCGTATTATAAAAAATATATTAACATATTGGAAAGCTTACAACCTAGATTTCCTCGTTTAGCAGTCTATCGCATAAATTGCCCCGTATCTGTAAAATGTGTTACGATTGTAAGTGAGTTTTATTAGAAGTTAATCTGGTATCGTCGGAAAGAAACGCGAGATACGCCGATATCTCGCGTTTTACGGCGTCTCGAGCTGGAACCTTTCCAGAGATCGTACTTTTCTTCGTAACGTAAGCTTGTGTACTAAATCCTCGATAAAATTGTTTTGTCAACGGGTTACGCAAACCACAACCTGCGTAAGGAGAACAGGCACGAAGCGGTGAATCATTCGATATGGCGAGGCAGGGTTTGGACACGTCTGATCGGTGTTGTCGGACGTGCCGTGGCTGGCATGTCTGTATCTACTGTGTCAGTCAACGTATCGCGCAACGATACATCACGAATACCTTTGAACTTCTCGACGATTAGCGGTTGCATAAGCATAAGCGATCGGTATCGCGGATCGTTGCTTGTCCCTCGACCTTTGATCTTCTGCCGAGGCAAAGTACCGCGCCTACCCGCGGAATCCCGTAACAAACCATGGACAACCGAGACCAATTGACGCTACCCTTGCTGCCACGATCGTGGCATTTCGTTCCGCTAGCGACCAGCCCATTGTCATCGATCTCGACCGCGATCCTAGCCTACGACCCACTTAACACGATCAATTACGCGTACGCAGCTGTTCTTCGATCTACGAGCGTGCTTATCGCCCGGCCAATTATAATTCACCGATTAGAAACGATTCGATCCGATTCGTTTCGTTCCACCTTCGTCCGCGCTTCGAAACGCTCGGTTAATTCGTATTCCATTCGCGGACAAGAACGTTTCGTTTCCTCCGCGATTTATGAGCTTTCTATCGACCATTCTCGATTCCTGTTAGATTGAAATGCGACCTATCGCTTATCAGCTCGCCGCTAAATTCCGGTCGCGTCGCTCGGTAGCCAGCAATTAGCGCAAACGAAACCAGGAATTTCTCTAGATTCCTGCTTTCGATTTACTTCGAAACCATGTATTATGTATGTACCGAGGAGCGAACGAGATAATGGGACTGCTAACAAGCTTTAAGGACGTTTTCCTTCTTTTCGATATCTTCTCTAATCGGTAATTTAGCTATTTCAACATGATCTCCAGCAAATATACCGTAAAATTGCTCCAGCGAAAGAAAGCGTGGAGCATAATAGAGAAAAACGAGCCACCATTCGCCTTGCCTGTCCATGCTCCGACTCAAATTACCCTAGCTCACGTTCGTTTCTCTCTCGCGTGTGAACCAACGAGTCCCCTATGCGACGAATGCCGACACGCTTCGTTCTCCTTGCGACGTAAAAGTGCAACAATTAACGCGAACGATTCGATCGAGCAAATACAGTTAGTTAATAAAGTACGCAATCCGTAGGAACATGTTCCGAATCCGTGGAATCGTGACGAGCGAAGACGCGAATCGCTCGGTAAAAATAGTAACCGAGGGTAATTAGTGTCGATTGGAGGAGCTGTTACGTGTGGCCCCGCGATACGGATAACCCCTTTCCATTGAACGAGCGTCGACCAGTAAGCAACCACTTTAAAACAGAGCCAGACCAGTCGACTGGCTGCTCGACTAAGGTTAATTGAACTCAATTAAAAGCGAAGCGATACGCGTAGGCGATCGCGTTGGTTTTTCATGCGGGCCGCGATTTTCCTGTCGCGTACAATCGGAAAGCCTTTCAATCTCGAGGTGATTTATACAGGATGATCCAGAAGCGTCGTACACCGTAAGAACCGAGGATTCTATATCGAATACTTGCAACGCGTCATTTACCTATATGTATAAACTGACTACGAGAGAAACAGCGAAATAACGACGCGTTTTTGTATTTTCGTTTGCAGACGACGAACGTAGGCGGCAGCAGCGTGGTGGAAAAGCTGTCCTTCTACAACCACACGGAATGCGAGTGCAGAGAGAAGACCGAATACGACACGACGTACGAGAAACCCTCGGAGCAGAGAGTGTACAGACATTATACGTCCTCTCCGCAACCTCAGAACATGAGAAGAGCGCATCCGAGAAAACCGTGAGTTCCCTGTCCGCGTTCGAATAAAAACGAATCATCGATCGATCGAGTTATTTGTACTTCGAAATTGGTGCAGGTGCCGATGTCCGTCGGAATTCACGCCCAGGATCACGTCCGACGGCGAGTGCCAGTGCAATTGCTACGAGACTCATCAAAATTGCATCAAGATCAGGAGGGGAAAAGGATTCTTTTCGCTAGCAGATAGATTGTGAGTATATCGTGGAATGCGATAGTCCGTGTTCTATTATTAGACCGCTGCATAACTTGAGATCGTTGCACAGAAAATACATTCGCCGAGTCAGTGAGATAAATGAAAGTAACATTAATATACCGCGCGGTTAATTACAATTTTTGCGAGACTCTCGGTGCTTTATTAAGTCGTGACAAAAATAATTGCGAGTACTCGCGAAAAATCTGAGGATCGCCGTTGACGGATCGAGCATAAGGTTACTAAAGGATCGACGAAACGTATGCAGCAGGCTAATATTAGCGATTCGAAACTTCCAAGTATGTCCCTACTGATTTTCCGCGTCCATTTCACAGATGCATACAGCACGACGAATGCGCGTTGCCCAGCTGCGAGTTTGGCGAGTATATGCGACAACAGGGTAAATGTCCTCGGAAAAAGGATAAATTCGACAAAATCGCCAATTACCATAGGACTTCGAACCACTGGTACAGGAGTTAGGACGCGAAGAAGACGACGGTATGACAAGTGCCAAAAGAGGAGCAACAAAGAGAACGAAGAACGAGGTCCAGAGTGGAGAATAATCGACGGTGCCATTTTCTTTCCGAGTGCCTTTTATCACAGACTCGATTGCACGTATACGTAACTCTCGACGAAGTTACGTATAAATATGTCCCTGCGATCTTAACGCTATATTCTAATGCCCCTCCTGTTTTTTATACTATCGTTATCGACGAGGATCGTTCGACGAGAAACCGGTGATAAATCACGAGTAGCGATAGGAATGCTTTAGTTATTAAAGTTTAGTGAAATATTTTCTTGTCGAATGCCTCGAATTTCTTTACGCGAAGGATGGAACGCGTAAATTGTATCATTACGAATGTACGTGGTTCGAAATTCATGCTGTGCAGTATTTAAATCGTACTTTGCTCGATTTTCAAGCCATCTTAAACTTCAGAATACTCTCCGAACTACGAGACATTCGTTTCACCCCATTTTCCTTTGGAATCGACGATACGAAGTCGCGCGGGTGGTTTCAATTAACGCGATTCATCCTGTATGTTCTCGTAGAATGATCGAAAACATCATCGAGCATTCTCGGGCGAAGATCGACGTTGCACGCTAGATAGTTTAATCGCGTTCGAAACTCGTCGTGCGTAAGAACGAAACGAGCGAGAAAATTCGCGAGCGTTTATAATTTTTCCCCGATGAATATCTGGGAGTCGTAGATCTGAGCGATGGCAGTTTTACGCGGCAAGAGACGTCTCGATTACTCGTAACGTAACGAAGAAGAGCGAAACAAAGATCGGACCATGAGCCTAGTCTAAGATCCTGCCTGTGTATTCTGCGCGAGACGAAGACGCGATCGACATCGAGTGTCCTATACCAAAGCGAGAGAATTGCAAAGACGAGAAACGGTCGCGCAGAATTAATAATGTAGATCCCTTAATTGTACTCGTATTTTTTTACGTTTGCGTTCAAGTCCATGGAGAAGGTTTCTATTGGAGAGAATGAACAAACCCTTAATCGAACGACGGAGTAAGACAATCGTCTTAATCGCCACACGCTCAAACGTGTAATCGGAGGACCATCTAAGTACCGACCCGTTTAAGATCCATTCTTACTTGGCACCAAGTGGATGGGTCATAAATGGATCGTGAACATAATCGAGAGCGTATTGTGCAGACCGTGATTGTACAGATCTGTCCATCTATCGATTTCGTAGTGTTACAAATTTCTACTAATATTAGCGAGATTTAAATGTATTTTGTTCTCAATGGACCAACCGCAGGATCATCGCCCACCTGTACAGACTACTAACGAACCTCCGAAGAAATAATTCAAGTATACGAGAAAAAGAAACAGAAAGAAACGACTGGCAGAACGCGAAGTTCGAGCCGCGGCTATTTCGCACCCCTTAAACGTGTTTTGTACGCTTTTATATACTTTATCGTAGTATACACGTACGTAGTAGTCGATTTGATCGCGAAACCGATAGCTGATTCAGCATTTATAAGCCGATGAACACGTGTACGATTCGCGTATAGATCGATTTGCACTTTCGCTCTTCTGAAATTTTGGTTACGATATATTTCGAGCTTCGAGCATGGTAGAAGCGCAATTTTCAAAGTGTCAATTGCTTTTTACACGACTTCTCGTGCTGCTAAAGATCCGATTTTTCAAGTTCGATCTATACTCGAAAGTACGCGGTAAATCGAGGACGTTCGACCTACTTTTGGTGCCGAATACTTTACTGTTAATATTATACAGGACGCCACTCGACATTCAGCTTGCTGTTGTACTCGCTACCGATTCTAAGCAATAGGTATATATATATATACATACATATATATATATATAGACATAGACAGCAAATCAAACAGTAATGTTGTATAAAGAAATTCATTATTATCGTTTCAATAAAATCGCAACTTACGTTTAAGTATACCATGTAGTATTTTCTTCTATCCAGACTAAAATTCGGACTTACCAGACCACGTATTTTTACATTTAATCGAAATCAAATAAGCAAACAAGCTCTTTTTTTTCAGTATAAAATTAATATTAATGAATATATAGCATATTAATCAATAAAATCGATATTATTTAAATTAAAAAAAAAATTGAACTGGTGGCGCCATCTGTCCGGCGAACAGGTTGAACTACACACTTTTGAAACTGCACTTTAATTAGTTTCCATTTGTATCGCGAGGCGGCGCCACATGTATCGTTTCCGGTTCAATTCAATTAATATAATTAATTTTATTGGCATAATTGATTATAATATGAGTGGAAATTAACGGTCAATTTTGAACTTCGACTCCGTGGACAGTAGCAAATCGTTACAAATAGCGCAATTTATGGACAAAAAAATTGGCATCCATCCAGCGACGAAACGGGCGAACTAAACCTAAAACATAAGGGCCCGTACACGCATATAAGGAAAATAAAAAAATGAATATTTCGGCACATTGACGACGTAGTATGGTTCCTGGGGCACTTAGAAACAAATTTCTATTAGGGTTTGATGCGTTTTGATGCCTAATAAAGCCAGAAAATGAATTTTTGTCGAATTCGGTCCAAAACGGTACAGGTGGCGCCATCTAGCGGCGAGCGGCGGAACTACGAAAAACTAAAATTTCGATTTTCTCGAAAACTAGGGACTTTTCCGAAATTCTGAGATATACAAATTCTTCCTTGTCGCCTACGGAATCGAACGAATTTAATTATAGCTGGCTACGACCATTATTAAAGAAAATAGAAAAATAGCCCATTTCATGGACTAAAAAATTGGCGTCCATCTAGCGGCCATTTCATGGACTAAAAAATTGCCGTCCATCTAGCGGTGGAAGTTGGAACTACAAAAATATAAAAATGCGATTTTCCCGAAAATTGGCGAACATTGAGTACTTCTGAGAGTCAGAAAGTGTTATGTGATCGCATTAGAAGCGAAATAATGCAATAAAAGTTTCCTGGAAGCTTTAATAAAGAAAATAAAAAAAATGTCATTTTATGGAGAAAATTTGTGGCGTCATCTAGCGGCGAAACTGCGAACTAAACTGAAAAAACGTATGTCCGAAAACGCGTTAAAGGGTCAAATAAAAATTGATTTTTCTGGGAAGGTAATATTTCACAACTTTGACGACGTAGTATGCTTCTTTAGACATTTTAAAGCAGTTTTTGTTCAATAAGTTATACATTTTTTTGCCTATTAAGCCCAGAAAAATCAATTTTTATTTGACCCTTTAACGCGTTTTCGGACATACGTTTTTTCAGTTTAGTTCGCAGTTTCGCCGCTAGATGGCGCCACAAATTTTCTCCATAAAATGACATATTTTTCATTTTCTTTATTAAAGCTTTCAGGAAACTTTTATTGCTTTATTTTGGTTCTAATGCGATCACATAACACTTTCTGAGCCTCAGAAGTACTCAAAGTTTGCTAATTTTCGAGAAAATCGCATTTTTATATTACTGTAGTTCCAACTTTCACCGCTAGATGGACGGCAATTTTTTAGTCCATGAAATGGGCTATTTTTCTATTTTCTTTAATAATGGTCCTAGCCATCTATAATTAGATTCGTTCGATTCCGTAGACGACAAGGAAGAATTTGTATATCTCTGAATTTCGGAAAAGTCCCTAGTTTTCGAGAAAATCGAAATTTTAGTTTTTCGTAGTTCCTTCCGCCGCTCGCCGCTAGATGGCGCCACCTGTACCGTTTTGGACCGAATTCGAAAAAAATTCATTTTCTGGCTTTATTAGGCATTAAAACGCATCAAACCCTAATAGGAATTTGTTTCTAAATGCCCCAGGAACCATACTACGTCGTTAATGTGCCGAAATATTGCACTTTACATCCGCAGAAGAATTGACGTAGGCAGCTCATGTACGTATCGCAATGCTGACACAAAATAATTAATTACTCATTACCCGAACATTATTTATGAACTTTTATGATCGAACAATGTAAATAATGCATTGCTGACCACTCTTCAATCATAAAAACCTCTTCAATCATAAAAGTGCACAAAATATATTCACAAAACGCGTAATTAATTATTCTAAATGACCTCGTGTATACCACTTGTCACCGTGGCTGGCCTTAGGTCATTACTTAATAACTAATTAATTTCATTAAAAATCTGAACAAATATAATGCGAAAAAGTAGCTGAGGGACCACTGAACATTCTTTTATAATAAAAGAAGACCACCCCTTTTCGGGTCCTACACTAATTGTGGGACACCCGTATATTATAAGTAAAATTAAAATCGTAGCTCTTAAATTCTAAATTCTAATTCTAAATTAAATTCTAATCGTAGCTCTTAGCTCGATATAGGTCTCTGAAGATTTTTTAAAGCCTTCAGAGAACTATACCAATTACCAGGTCACACCACGTGGAGGTGGCTACGATAGCGACCCACCCTAACTCCAAATCCCTTCCTCCCTCCAAATGCAACCTCATTTATCAGAAGGATAAATGAGTTCCGACTCTACTTAGCCCGTGGGCTCGCAACAATATACAAATTCTTTACCACAATCCAGCAAAGAACTTGTATTACACACACACACACACATACATTAACTTAATAATAATCGCATGGGATCCCACACACGCACGCTTAACTTATTCTAAACGC